ACACAGAGAAAGCAGGTAAAGGTTAGATGTTTGAACACTTAAAACAGAGTGCAGAAGCTATAGATGTAAAAATAACATACGTGCCTCAGATCAAAGACGAGATTCGGGTTCATGCGGAGGTGACGATGAAAAAGAACTTATGTTATATAAGATACACGAATATTAGGGAGAGAAGAAATAGCTGGGATTGTTGAATTGAAACTTCTATTTTGCATCTCATTTTAAGCCGCTCATAAAATGTACCTGAAGCAAAGAATTGATATATTGTGCAAGAGATAAAGGGGATATCAAAACAGCGTGACGGATAATGAAATAACCAACCATTCAGAATATTGATTGTGCTTTATTGGTGGCAATGAACAGAGTTTGAAGCTTGAAAACCACAACAAAATGTACTAGTTTCAAATGGTTTGTTTCTTTCTTTAGTTTTATGTGCATGTACAGTATATTTGGCATCTTGTCACAAAAGAGTATTAGCCCTCACTCAGCCAATCAGATCTCAGTTTTAGATTTGAATTTGAATTGAGTAAAAGATAACTGACAACAAAATCCCCGTTGGAACAGTTTGCATGTTCTCTCTGTGTCTGCGTTGGTTTCCTAAAAAAAAAACTTACAATAGGTCTGGCATGCGCCTCCTGTATGGCGACCCTGCTTTCTGTGTGGAGTGAGAGACAAATGCTAACAATTGTAAAGTGCTTTGTGACTCTGGTCTGTGAAAAGCGTTATATAAATAAAAATTACTTTCTTGCATACAACATGTTTATTTTTAGTTTTTTTATTAACATGAAGACTGCGTGTTGTTGTTCACAAATTGATACTTGAACAAGACTTGTTTTTCTGTCGGAACAAACAGAATGTATCAAACAGTTGGGTACCCCAGCTTTAAATCCAAATGGCTTTGACTAAGAATGCTCTGTAAAGCTTGTTCCACAAAATGACCATTCCGCATTTAAGATACAGTTCTGTTTGTAATGTACATCTATCTCTGCCTAATGAATCAGAAGTAATGTGGCGATCAAGGCAAACTTTGCGTCTTTGGACTTGCAATGTAAACAAGTTTGCTGTTGATACCAGGTTGTGCACGTACACAGACTTTTATTTGTTAATGATACATGACTGTGTGCGTGCAGCTGTTACTTCTCAAACGTCTTTTGTTGTCTTGTGTGATAATTGCCCGACTCTCCAGCCTGCAGCCTGTACAGTATATCCAGCACATTTGCATATGCTAGCATTGTACAAAGAGAATCTATAGGGCTGTGGCATGGATTATGTAGGAGCATGTTGGTGCAATGAAAGTGTCCAGAATTTGAATGAAACTTGCTCCAAGAAATGTTCCTTTACCAGCACAACGCATACGTCACTGTAGTGCATGGAGTTCACACAGACAGATGTTTTCTCTGTGTTTGTAAAATGCATTGGTTTTCCATTGATTTAGTTGCTGAATTGGCTGCAATCAAGTACAGGAAATTTTACAAGAATCGTTTTGACATTGCTGTAAAAACATTATTGTAATTTGCATTCATCTGAATAATCATCATCTTAAATGTACAGTAATCACTTTCATCGTATCAATGCAACCAGTGACCACAGACTGTACATCAGGAGTGGACTGACCGAGTGCTGGCGTCACCTTTAGTGTTGCGGAACAAGCCGATTTGAACATAAGATAGCTTAGTTCATTTCCTTATATGGGCATTTGTTTCGACTCGGTTTGCGCCATAACAGTGGCAGACGTGTTGCTAAGACGGTTGCTAAGGCAAGCTGATGTTTACCCCCCGTGAATAAAGGTATCTGATCAGTATCAATATAAAAAATATATATTCCTGGATCATGAGAGTACTAGTATTTTTAAGCCCAAAAGTGTGACACAAAACAGTTACTGAGCTAGAACAGTAATGCAAGTCAGGCAAGGAGCCAGAGCGAGTCTGAGCAAGACTTTGTCCATGAGCACTTCCCTATTGAGCTACAGTATAAGCATTGTCCATCTACAGTATATACAGTCTATGTAATGTAAGGTTCAAGGGCTGAAAATATGAAAGATGTGGGGAATATACAGTCCTTTTCTGAAGTCTGCGTACCTCCACACTCTGCTGGATCTGATACTGTGCGGTTTTGGTGAAATCTCTCTTAACACCTCGTCTCGCAGCCTCCGTAAAACTCCCGAGTGAGTGACAACGTGTGAACTTTATGAACAAGCCGTTTAATGTAGTTACCGCTGAAGTAAAGCATCCTTCCAGGCCTGAACATTGTACATGATAGAACGTCAATAAATGTTCTATTTGGCATTTATAGCGTGATTAATTGAATAACAGAATTTTATGTCCAAAATGTGACTGTTTTATAGACCAAAAGGATCAGCCATGTCACTTATTTCACCCTAACCCATTAACAAAAGCAAAATCAAGTCACAAAAGTACATTCATATATTGGCCCAAGATAGTTTTTATGAAACCAACACTAAACTAATTGATTATTGAAATAATTTTTCAACTAAATTAGCAGTCAGTAACTATTTTTTTTTTACTTTACATGGCCTAAAATCTGCTAAAAAAGAGCAAGTTTTTGGAGTCCATGCAAAGAAATGTGTTTACAAAGTATTATTTTTCATCACACAACCCAATATACAATACAATAATGTTCTCCAGAGCTTTCCACTTGAGCTTTGTTTTTGTTCTGGTCAAATTTATTTTTTTATTTTTCCCCCCCATATGATCTGTTCTTTCTGGAGCTAAACAACTAACCGATTAATCACAGGAATAATCCCCCAACAATGATTAATTAGCATAATTGTTGAAGACAGCAACAGATCATTCCTCCTGAAAAATAAAATCCAAAAATAAGGAATTGCAACACAATGTAGATCCTCGTGAACGCATATTTCAAGTTTACAAGTGCGAATAATGCGATGATGAATTCGTGAGAGTTTATACAAAATAATAATCAGGAGCTGCAGCACTTCAACATCCATGAATGAATTTGTATATTTATCTTTGTATCTATTTAACTAATTAGCAGTTCAATTGCGTTGTCTCTTGTGCTACATTATTTTCCTATTCCACACAACACTGAATCCAATTACTTTAAAATTACACGACCATAATCACATGTGTTTAATTTCAGCGATGATATCCTTCAGTGAAGCTGTCCCCATAGATGCATTTCCTTCCAATAAACTTCACTATCCACCGCATACACCACTTAAAATAAATCAAAAGCAGAGCAGCCATCCCGACTTGATAATGAAAACACATTTGTAATTGGTTAACTCCTTTTTGATCTTTTATTGATTTGCTTAAAGTGAAGTCAGTTACTTTTTGATTTGTGGCGAGAGAGCACCGTCGCTGCTTCCTGATTGGACAGAATTTGTTTAAATCCTTGATACGCAGCCTCTTGGCATTGGTTTAAGTATATATGTATTTATATACTGTTTTATTTGTTATATTATTTTTGTGTAATCTTTTTCTTTGCATTAAAATTGTTGTCTTGTTATGTTTTTAATTATGACATTTTGGCCGATTGAACTCTTGAGGCAAAAACTCAACAAAAAAAGTGTTTTAAAAAAATCCTTTTTCTACTGACTTTAAAGATGTCAGTTTTTTTGGGTTTTTTTTTTTGGGTTTTTTTTTTTTAGATGTCCTTGTCTGAATATTAGAATTGTATAATTGTTTTGCTGCTGTGAGTGGGGAAGAGTAAATCACATACGGAACATGGTTCTTCATGTATTAATCTCAAGTATGTTCAAATGTAAACAACGGCAGATGTCTGTCACTAATTGTCAAGTTGGAACCTACAGATGTGATTTGTGCAACATCCCAATCGTCTTCAACAGGTGGTGCCACGCAGAGTTGAAACACGCCGAATGTAATGCTTGAGTTGACTTTTCGTTTCTGACTTTTCGGGTGGTCACACAGAACTGCTTCCCACATAGTTTTCTTACTGTGGTTTGAGGATTCCAGCCTCTTCAGACGGAGCATGTGGGCGTCTGCAGGTTTCAGCCTGTGTTAGTTCAAGCATCCAGTTAAGCGCCTGTATGGTTTTCTGCTCAGATGTTGTGGTTTGGTATAAATCCATTCCAAAGGTAAAACAATGTTCTATTCAGTTTATCTTGACCACTGTTGAAACGATGAACTTTCCATCTCAAAATTCCTCATCTTTGAATAATGTTTCAGTGTACCCACACGGATGAGAACTGTCTGACACAATCCATATCATTTTAGTTCCTCCATAGTTTTCACATGCTTGTACTTTTGGCCTCTTTCACATCCTTAGATCAGCTTCAGGACCACCCACACTTCTTACAAGAATGCAAAACTCGATATCTTTTCTAATCAGATGAAAACACCATGTTGGTCTTTTTTGTTCACAACATTCTACTCATACAAGAGTCTTTCTGTAAGGAACATGGTTTATTTAAGGGGAACTTTTTGGTAAACATTTTGTATTTTGTTTCATTCAGCTTTAAAGGGGACATACAATGTAAACTTGACTATTATAAGTATAAGCCCTTATTCCCAGTGAACCTGTTTTTATGATTAATCTGAAGGTGCAGCTCTGTTATTTATACTCGGGGCCAAAGCATATATCAACTCAGGATGAACATGTGAAAAAGGCGGCAATGTGGCTGAGTGGGCAGCGCTTATGTTTCAAGGAGGTCATGGGAGGTCTTATTTAGCAACTTTCTTTTGGAGTTTGCATGTTTCACTCTGTCTAGGTGGTTTCCTCCAGGCACTCATGCACTATAGGTAGAATCTTCCAGCGCATGTGACCACGCCCATCATCAACAACTGGAGATTTTTTGTCGTGTTTTTGTCAGTGCAATACTGGTATATGAACATACACTTTTATACATAAGAGTAGATGCCTTGTGGTCAAAAATCTGCATTTTTTTAAATTATTATTTTTAACACATTGTAATTACAGAGTGTGCATTCATGCTGAGGAATCTCTAAATGTTTTAAAGTGCACAAAGTTTGTTAAGTGTTGTTCTCTTGTTCTTTCAGGTGTTCCAGGGGAACTTTGACAACGACACGCACAGAAAGAACGTGATAGACCCTCCCCTCTACGCCCGCTTCGTGCGGATCCTGCCCTGGTCGTGGTACGGACGGATCACTTTGCGCGCTGAGATCCTGGGCTGTGCAGAAGAGGAGTGATTTCTTTCGAGTTCTCCGCCATTTTCCCCTCCAGCTCCTGTGACATGCCGGGTTTGGTCACACCTGGCGTTACAAAAGTAGACTGCGCGACCTGTACAAATCAATAAATTTACAATGGATTTTTCAACAATAATGTGTTTTGTGGGTTGCTGTTAGTTCTTTTTGTACAATGGTTTCAACCCACCACTCTATAATTTCACCCTTTTTGTCCCTTGAGGTCCACTGCAAATGTATTGTCTTTTTAAAGATTCACCATCCAGTTTGGACTCCTGTAAAGAAACGTGGGGCAGGGTGGGGTATATGTGCGTCTTTGGGCTTAGGGGCTACTCAATGTGGTTGTTGCCATAAAAAAAAACTATTGTACAGTGTCACTTTTTATCAAAGATGTGAATCCTGTCTGACGTGGTCTGCATTGTTCCATACCTGAAATGTCACTCACATTGTCCCAAACTTTGCTTTCAAGGACAATAACATCCAACCCACCTTGTCAAAACACTTTAAGAGATCCTGTAAAAATATAAAAGAACTTGCATGGTGCGTGAAATTAAAATGTATTATGACAAATCATTTCAAACATGCCCTGAAAGCTTTAACTTAGGGTCCTATTTTTATGTGCATTTTGAAATAGGTCTGAAACATATTGAACACACACTGCAAAAGCTTACAGAGAACATCCCATCAACTATTTATTTTAATGACTTCACCGTCTTATCGACTATGTGTTAAATGTCTATAAGATTTCAGTTGACTGAAAAGCTCAGGATAGATGTCATACATAATTATAATAATAAAATATGAAGAATAATGTCACAGTTGTGTCGATTATGCTCACCTATTGGAGATGTCTATTGTCTGTAATATTGTTTGCTGCATTTACATATGTACCAATTAAATAAACATCCTTTATTTATTATGGAGTTGTTTACATGTTTCTGACGCTGCTTTGACAGAATGTTTCGCGTTAAGTGCATAAAGCTTTGAGTGGTGCTGTATGATTCTGGGTTGAACAAAAGCCACGCTTAAAGATTAAATAAGTGAAATGAAACACAAAGCTGACAGTAGAATTCAGCTCGAAAATAACCCTGACCACTATATTTACTCATGTGCACACAAAGAGTCTGTCCCTTGTCCTTTTACTTATAATACAAATGACCACGCATGTCCAAACGAAGGCCCGCGGGACATTTGAGGCCATTTGGTGAATTTCCTGCGGCTCTCTGCATCGCAAACCTGAAGTAGGATCAGCACCTCTTCAATCCAGCCATTGTTTGACTATAACAACATATATTTGTGATACAAGCACTATTTAGGATCTCAGGGGCTGGTGCTCTGTGTATTGGGTGCAGCTCTGACTGCCACCACCCCCGACCCAAAAACGGATTAAGGGGAAGAAAAAAAAATGGATGGATGGAGCTGGAGAATAGGTTATATACAATATTTTCTCACTGTCTCTGGAGGGAGCGAGTCCAAAACTGCCCACAAATAATGTATTTATATATTTGTCCATGCCATATAACATACTTACATCATATATTTTCCCGTTACATTTGTGCAACATAAATGAATAGGACCAGAAGGAAGACACACAAATAAAGGACCTTCTTCTTTTTCAGCCTTATGAACCCTGTCCCTTCTGTTTACCTGGTTGCAAAGACATTTTAACATTTTCACCCCCAACATATTCAACATTCAGACAACTTCAGCTCCATCAAATGTGAATCTATATGGACATGATGTTGTACCTCAAGTTTTCCAATCCGGGTCGTCGAGCGTTCTAAAGGGGCCCTCTTACTCAAAAATCTATGAACCTACATACAGTAATGACTGCGTAATGAAACTAAACTCTCACCAACTGATATTCTTAAGCAGCTGCAGTTTAAAGGAGAACATTCTTTCATAGAGACAACAGTCCATGATATGATATGCGTCAGTAGCTGCTCACACCACGTCCCTGGAGCTCAGCCCACTCTGTCCCGCAGTGGAGGAACAAGTCGGTGCTAAACTTTGAACAGGAAACATCAATGCTTTGTTTAAAGGAATAGAATTGAGCCAAATTAAATGAAAATACTTCATATCTTCATAGTGTGTGTCTGGACAATCCACATCAGACTACCACAAACATGATTAATTCTGCTTTTGTTATGATTACACATAGACAGGGTCGAGTTAAATCTTCTGCTTGTTCTCTTCTTTCACTGCAGCTCTGATGCGGCATGCATAATGTATGTGTTTGTACAGTGCTGTGTATTTCACGCAGACAGACTCTGTTCTCTAATATTAATAAGAATAATACTTCAAGTACTGGCTCAGTTGAGAGGATAGATACATAATGGTTTTAAACGCTCTACACTAAAATGCCTCCATATTTTATTTCTATGAGGAGAAAGCGACAAAGCACCGGAGCGCTCTTATCTGAAATGAAGCAAAGTGACCTTGGTCATGTGATTTTGAATCATAAAGACAGTCTGGTCAAAGTCATTACTGAAGTTATTATAAACCCAGATTAATTCATTAGACCGAAGAATGATTTGACTTCATCTTACATTAAGGCAATAATCCTTCACAATGACTGAGCCAGGATCATGTAGCTGGAGTCTTTGTTCTTAAGGTTTGTCTGGATCACTCTCTGTTCTCGATCTTTTATCCCAATTTTCTAATATAATTTTGCATAATTATATTTTCATCATTAGATGGACTCTATTGATTCAGGTGACTCATTGATTAAATGTGTCTTTGTCGAATAAGTCAATGCCCCGCTAAACAACTTGGTTCAAAAAAATGTACATGAAAAAGATCGAGAATGTTCACAATTTGTAAAATGTTTGCAAGGAAAGTCTAACTACTCATATTTAGTTATAACTTTGTCTAACTCTCTCTATGATACTCTGAAATAGGATAGAGGATAACATCCATGTTCAGCTAACATGGCCAAACAAACCAGCTTTTAAGGAGAAATGCAATGGCGAGGTCCTGGATGACAGTTATTGCACTTAGAATTATTCATAAGCCTCAATAGGGTCAATCTGTCTTCTGGTGAACCAAAACATAAACTGTTACCATCCAAACTGAATCAAACTGACTAAAATAAATGTAAATACTTTATTCTTAAAGTCTTAAAAGTGTGATATAAGTCTGATGCATCGCTGTCCGGTGAACTATGGAGGGATTTAGTTTGACAGCAGCAGATACAGTAATAAAGGGACCTTTCTTGGTAGAACATGAGTGCACCACCCTGTTTGAGCTAAATATAGTGTCACTTCTAATATGGACACTTCAGCTGCGCAGCAGTGCAGTGTTTGTCACTGTTTTGAGGACAAATAAGTTTGAAGTGGCCTGTGATAGCGCTCTTGTTATCTTGTTTGTGTAGTCTTTGGGGACGTGTGGCAGAACTGGGCCAGGCTTGTGCATAGTTTGCACCTCTGTAATGATGTGGATGCAGATGTTATTTTCGGATCAGTTGGTTTACCTGTAGAACATTCAAGTGGGACACAAATTACCATTAAGAACCCCAAACTATCAAATGGGCTGGCGTCATGTTTTATCAAGGTCAATACCTTCCTCATTGCACAACGCTGCAGCAGCCGTGTGTCTCACTTAGGACACACTTGCATCGGCAATTAGGCTTTTGTGAGAAGGTAATACATAACCAGGAACCCAGTTCAGTCAGCGTGAATATCACCAGGCCACTGCGTCCACAAACCACCTGTGATACCCCTCACCTAGACTTTCCACATTGAGTTCAACAATATCTTCAAACAGTTTCATTTAAAGAAATATTTCTTAAAGTTATTTGAAATCCAAACACACACATATTTGTCTATTGACCAGTTTTGAAAAAAGCTAAAAAATTATACAAGAAGTTTTATCAGTTGTTGATTCCGTAGGCTGGTGAGTGGACAGCGTGAATAAAATACCAGTGTGTTGAACTATGCGTGTGCACTCCCCACAGTGGGCCCAATTAGAATGTAACATTACACAGACAATCCCTCCAGGTGCTTATTGTGCGTTGGCTATTTGCATGCGCACTCATATGGGGAGCCCTGCTGGCCTCTAGCATTTGCTCTGCATACTCTACAATCATTTTCATGGCCTTGCATCATTTCAATATAAGATATTCTCTGCAGAAAATTTCTAAAAGGATCACTACAAAAGTCTTGAATTCTGAAAAGTACACAACAGGCATGCCATTGGTCTTAGACTGATTCAAATGAATGCATTGGATAAAAGCCTGAAAACGAATACTCTTAATTAAAACACAAGCGACTTCCCACAGCGTTGTGTTGTTGTGATTAAGTCATTGTACCTTTTAAAGCTAGAGAAAAGGGCTGTTATGCAAAGTTGAGTTTGAATAAGTGTGTTATGTGCGTAAACCCCCAGCGCTAACGGGGACTGTATGTGCTATTATCAGCAGGTGAAGAGAGCAGAGGGACGTTTTTATTTTAGATCAGAGGCAAAATTAAGAGCATGAATCTGAAGGGACTCATCCTCATACCAGAGATGTATGAACCAGCTGTGGTGGATCTGCTTGTTTGTTTACTTCATGAAACCTGTGGCTCGCGGTGCAGGAGCAGCGATGATCGCAGAGTAAATATTGTTCAGCTCAGTACGTGGTACAGGAGTAGAGCTTGAGCGCTGGTGTCTTCATGTAAACAAGATAGTGCAGATCTGATATGAAGTGCTCCAGAAAATGCCACTTCCGCCTCTTCTGGCACGCGCCAGGACTTCTGGTCTGAAGAACCCTGCGTCTGAAAACTAGAGAATGTGCGTTTCAGCGTTGGCGGTCTGAACACAGCTTAAGACTGAATACTTTTGCTGAATCTCCTGAGATCAGCTTTGTGTGGACACAGCCATGTCTCTGTTGTAGTCATTGGATTTACTAACTCCAAAGTTACACCACAACTCATCTGGAAGCAAGCCCCTGGAAGCAGAAGTGAATCATGCCGAGTTCCAAACTGAAAATTACTACTCGCAGATTCCAGAATACTGTATAAATGCAGTGC